CATCAAAAGCACCAGTGACAACCTGGTGTCTGAAGTTGGCGGGGGGGAGGGGGGGGGACGTCATGTTGGGGAGCAGGTCATTAACAAGAACTGAGACAAAGAGTTCTCATTCCAAAGACTTTATTCCCAAGCTCGGGGTCCGTCTCATTAAAAGAGAGAGCGGACCCCAAGTCCTGGCGGGTGGGGGATTTATAGCTGAAGCTGGATACAGAAGCAAAAAAAAGCGGTGAGTAAAAAGAAAAAAAACTTTAACAGAGTTAACTTATCTTCTAGCTAGCCATAAAACTTGGCAAGTTTATTTTCTTCTAAGAACTATAAATCAGGACTTATTTTTTTTTTCTAACAACATACCTAACTTATCTCTTCCCTAGCAAGCAAGCCATAAAGCATTTAGTTAATCTCTTCCCTAACAAGCAAGCTATAAAGTATACTTAGTTTATCTTTTCCCTAACAAGCAAGCTAAAAAGCATACCTAGCTTATCTTTTCCCATTTTCTTGACAAGATACTTTGTTAATTTTTGCTGAAGCAGAAGTTTCTTTCATTCCTCTGGGCGGGGGTCTTAGCCTAGGCTCTGGGCCTGGGTCCCCACAGTCAGTCTTAGGGGACTGAGCCCTGAATCTCTAGCTACCTCTGGGAAGTGTCAGAATTGAGTTGAATTGGGGTACACCCTGCTGGGTTCCTTGGAGAAAAGAGCAGCAGAATGGGGAGCGTGGAACATCTTGTGTCAGAAAGGGAGAAAGTGCTCAAAGAAGTTGGACCGGTGTCCAAAACACAGGAGTTGGCTTGCAGAGGCTTCCCTGGTCAAAATCTGCAGGGCGTGGGAGAGAATTGGCCAGAAAGAATAGTGATTTTTATTCTTTTTATTATTATAAAACATCGAATTTTTTTAAACCTATGAATCCATAGTGATATTCCCACAAAAAAGGGGTGGGTGGGTAGGAGCTCGTATTTACAGAGGGATGCCAGCTAATAAACAGAAAAAAAAGATAATGACAGAGTTGGAAAAAAAGCACAATTTTGCAAACACCAGTAGAACTGATTCAGGCAAGAATGATGCTAAAACCATTGAATGAAAGGTTGATGAACATGATCTCAACAAATCACCCCAGAGAGACTATTAATTACAAATGGAAAAAAGGGCAGCACTCATCGGCAAAACAGGGCAGACACGATGTTGACCAAGTGACCGAGCATCACTTATCGATGTTAAACACAAGACAACAGGCCCCAAATTTACTCTAAGCCACACATCACCAAACCAATACTTAATTCCAGTCTCCCGCCTCTCCCAGAAATGGAATCTTAAATCGGTCAATCAGAAACCACCTGGTCAGCACTGCGGGGGAGCGGGGAGGAATCTGCTTGAAGGACCCCTGTCCTCCCCTAAAGGACGGCGACTTCGCCACAATCAATTGCTGGTATAACTTCCTTGTCCTGCTCCCTTCTCTTTCCTTTTACACAACGCCTCAGATCTTTCCGTCTGCTACATGGGACGATTCGTGCATCACTGACTCAAGCCAGTGAGAGCTTTAATATTTACTCAGCTGAATTTTGGTTTTTTAATGCCAACAACGGGACCAACGGGCATAATAGCCTCCTGCTGTGATACAAGTGCGGCGCGTTACCCAAGTGTGTTTCTACCCACAACTTGCAACCCGAATCTCATCACGATGGGAGGAATCCAACAAATCAAGATTATGGGGCCTTCTGGAAGACAACTGGCCTGAACTATTCAAATGTATCAAGGTCTCAAAAGACAAAAAAGAGGGGGGAACGGGGAGACAGGAGGGCAGTTCTGGGTCAGAAGAGACTAAAAAGAGCAAAAGGCGAGGTGCGACTCTGCACTAGATCGAGTATGGGGGTGCGTGGGTCTCATTTGGGGCAATGGAGCCAATTTGAATATAAAATATACACTGGTTAATAATTTCGCATCATTGTTAAATTTCTCGGGTATCAAAATGGTATGGAGATCACGTTAAGATCACGCCTTTGTTTCCAGGAGATACACGCTGAAGGATTTATGATCCTCCGCAGTAGCCTCAAAGCGGACAGAAACGGCCCCGAACGCCCGACACAAGGTTCGCGCGTGCGCACAGCTCTCACCGCGACATCGCGCGGCCGGAGGGCTGGATTGGGTGCCGCGAGGCGGAAATACGCAACCGAGGGGATACGGTGCCCGCGTAGGTTCCGGCGACAACGGCGGTAACATGGAGGAGGTGCCCCACGGTGAGTGCGCGGAGGGGAAGCAGCGGGGGTGGCGGGGCTGAAGGGACAGGAGTTACTCTGTGATTTTGTCTCTGCGTAGATTGTCCCGGGACCGGCAGCGCCCAGGCGGGACAAGGGGCCGCATGTCAGGGGTGTCCCAACCAGCGGTTATGCGCTTCTGGAGTCGGCGCGGCTCCGGACCCAGGTAAGGAAGGCGCAAGGCCTGAACGGGAAGTGAAAGGCGTAGGCCCGGAAGAGGCGGGGCGCAGGGGGAAATAGGGCGGTGACAGCGGGCGGGACCTAAAGGATGAGTGACAGGGGAGGGGCCAGGAGGCCTGTTGGGCGGAGCGGGCCCAGAGGAGGCAGGGCGTGGGAAAGTCGGTCGGAATGAGGGGCGGGACTTGAGGAATGAGTGGCAGGGGCGGGGCCGAGAGGGGCAGGGCCTTTGAAAGGCTAGTTGCGGAGAAAAGTGGTGGAATGGGGTTGGAGTCTGAAGGACCAGTGACTAGCTTGGAGTCAAAAGGGGTCTTCAGAGAGACGGGGGCTGGGTTGAGGAGCAGGGCCAGAAGTTTGAGTGACTAAGTGACAGGTAGGGAGGAGGCCACCAGCCGAGGGAATAGGGTATGAAACTTTGAAGTCAGGGAGTTTGGGCTTAAATTCTGGCTGGGTCACCTACTTTCTTTGGACAGAATTTTCTTCCTTTTGAGGAGCGAGTCTCCCATTCATTCGACAGAAATATGTGTTAATCGCCTCCTAGGCACAGCTCTCTGTGCTGGGGATACAGCTGTGAGAGAGATGAGATCACTGCTGTAGTGAATGTTAGTTCAATAGGGGAGACCCAAAATCAACAAGTAAGTAAGCAAATAAATCATCACAGCCATAAGTACTGTGAGGGACAAACTGGAGGGCTGGGAGGACTCTGGGAACCTACTAGAAGAACTTAAAAAGCAGGGAGAAGAATTTTGAAGGAGCTCGAAGAGAGACTTGGGTTTGATTCTTGGGTCCCGCAAACAGCATGACCTTAAGCAAGAATCTTAACCTTTCTGAACCTCTGTTTTCTCATCAATAATGGGAGAAAAATAGTTACCTCACAATGTTGTTTTGGATTTGAAATAAGGTGAAATAATGAAAGCAGAGTGTGTAATAAGTGATAGTCATCAATGACAGGTACTTGTCAAGTGCCTGTTCTGTCAGGGCTTCTCAACCTTGGCACTTGACATTGGGAGCTGGATAACTCTTATGTGTTGTAGGGGGCTTGTACTGAGCACTGTCAGATATTTAGCAGCATCCCTGGCCTCTACTCACTACATGCCAAGAGCATCCTTTCCTTGTGACAACCAGAAATGTCCCCAGACATTGCTAAATGTCCCTGGCAGATGTGGCCCCCTGGTGGGGAATCACAGTCTTCATCGCATAACGATGTTTCAGTCAATGATGAACTGCATATATGATAGCGGCCCCATAAGATTATAAGGGAGCTGAAAAATTCCTATCGCCTCGTGACGTAGCTGTTCTAACTATATAGCACAAAGCATTCCGTACGTGTTTGTGGTGATGCTGGTGTAAACAAACCTGTGCTGCCAGTCGTGTAAAAATATAGTACCTATAATTGTATACAGGACATAATATTTGATAATAAACAACTGTGTTACTGGTTTATGTATTTACTACTGTATATTATGCTGTATCGTTATTTTAGAATATACTCTTTCTGCTTGTAGAAAAAGTTTGCTGTAACACTCAGGTAGCAGCCCCATACATCTCGTGTTTGCCTTGTGATTACATCCCCTTCTCTCGTGCTTGACTCAATCTCGTGTTGTTTCGTACAGCGACATGCTGTACAGGCGTGTAACCTGGGAGCAATAGGCTGTACTGCAGAGCCTAGGTGTGTAGCAGGCCATACCATCTAGGGTGTGTAAGTCTCTCTACAGTGTTCACAGAGTGAAATTGCCTGACACATTTCTCAGGCTGTATCCCCTTCACATGTCTGTATATGTGAAGCTCTGTTTTGAATTTGGGAATAAAGTGATGAACACTTCAGAGTCCCTTATATGGGGTTTGTATTCTAGTGGGGGAGACAAATAAGTAAACCAATAAATAAAATGCTAGATGTGATAATAGCCTTATTTTCTTTGTAGCACTTATTTCTCCCATTGATTAGGTGGTATTACACACATGATTCCTTGAAACAGCCCCAAGGACTTAGCTCCTTCTAGCCCATTGCAGGAGTGACATTTGGGATTTAGTCAGGGACGTCATCACCTGAACTGCTTTCTTTGCAGCTATAGAGGAAATCAAAGAGAAAATGAAGACCGTGAAACACAAAATCTTGGTGTTGTCTGGAAAAGGCGGTGTTGGGAAAAGCACCTTCAGTGCCCACCTTGCTCACGCCCTGGCGGAGGATGAAAACACACAGGTGGGACCTTGGGAGAAACTGGGAAAAGCTCCTGTCTGAGGGCTCATGATGGTGTGTAGAGAAATGCTTCCTTAGACTGAGTTGAACTGGCCTCTTTGAATCCAGGTCCCTGCACAGAGGAGGAAGCACATAGCAGTCAGGCAGTGAAAGGAAGTATTTCATTGGGTTCTCTCACTATGAAAATGGAAGGCAGGTGTACATTTCTCTTAGCATGCTGATGATTTATTACGTTAAGTTCAGACTTTTTTCTCAACCCTTTTCTGCCTTTTTTCAGGCTGGGGGTCTGCAAACTACAACTCGTAGCCAAATCCAGCCCATCTCCTGTCTTTTTATGGCCTGCGAGCTAAGAATGGTATTTCCGTTTCTAAATGGTTGCTTTAGATTGTTGCATAAGCACCTACATAGTATCCTTGATTTTGCCCACAAAGCCCAGAATATTTTCTGTTTGGCCCTTGAGGAAAACATTTGCTGACCTCTGCATTGGGCCCCTCACTTCTACCCAGGTATGCAGATCAGCAGGAAAAAATACCCAGCACTGCTCTCTGGTGGTCTCAGCATTAACAAAAGGGATGGTAAGGTGAGGAAGAAGAAAAGAGCCTTTACCAAAAAGGTCAAAGGGAAATTTGCAGTACCTGTGATTTTTTTAAAATACATTGCGTGATTCATTGGGACTCATGATAATTTTGCATGGACCTTAGAAAATGATCTAATATTCACTGTGCTTATCATTTTCTACCTAATAAAACCATGATTACTGCAGGTTTCAATTTTTGTGTTTTTGTTTTGTTTTGTTTTTAACACAGAACACATTGTACCTTCTTATTTTTTCCAAAAAGAAATTTTGCTCAAAATCCCAACTAAAACATATGCGTGTGTGTGTGTGTGTGTGTGTGTGTGTGTGTGTGTGTGTGTATATATGTATGTATGTATCAGAACTGCTAGAGCATCATGGGTGAACCCAACTTAGAGCCCAATTGTCCAGCACGTTGACCCCTGAAATGAGACCTCACTGAGGATTTCTGTGTTGGTGCTCTGTGCATCCTGGGTTAGAGAGCCCGTTAGTCACGCTCTGAATTGCTAACTAAATGCGGTTTTCTCCATCAGAGCCCTGGTGGGGGCCTGCAGAAGAGGTCTGTGTAACGTAGAAGCAATTTTATTTTGTTCATGTTGAAAGCCAGTTGTGACTATTTCAGTTCTTTCCATGGCCTTTGTGTGTGCCTTCTTTCATGCATTGATTTACTTCTGAAAATTGGCTTTCTCTCTGCATTTTGAATATTGAAGTTATTTTCGTACATGAGGGCTAACACTTTCACTTCATGTTTATTTTCTAACTCGTGACAAAAGCCCTCCAGTTTTGTTTGATTTTCTTTTTAAAAGAGAGTGCTGGAAGGGACTGTGGAGGTATGTTTAATATGGAAATTTCAAAACTGCCACATATTGCCTATTATATTTTAAAACTCCAAAAGCTGGATAAATTTCAGTACTTTCTACTTGTGTGAGATAAACCATTCTACTCAGTATGAACTATCATCCTAAGATCTTAATATGAGAAAGACTATTTCCTCCACAAAAAATAAAAAATAAAGCCAGCCACAGTAGGCAGAGGGGATCAAGCCCAGTGTTCTGATATGTTCGACACACACACACACACACACACACACACACACTCCCTCACACACATACACATTGAGATACCTCACAGTATGCAAGAACTCCAGAACTACATTGTTTAAATCACTGGATTAAGAAATTAGAGTTTGCTTTAGCAGTTGGTAAACTTTTTATGTAAAGAGCCAGATGGCAAACGTTTTAGGCTTTGCAGGCCAGCCAGTTTCTGCAGCAGCTGTTCAGTTCTGCCCTTAAACATGAAAGCAGCCGTAGACAATCTGTAAACAATGAGCATGGCCTTGTTCTAATAAAACTTTATTGTCCCTGAAATTTGAGTTTCCTATAATTTTTACATCACGAAATAAGAGTAGTGTTTTGATTTTTATTTCCCCAACCCTCTAACAATGTACTAACCATGAGCTTGTGTGCTGTGGCAGGCTGACCTTGGCCCCTGGGTTGTAGTTTGCTGGCCCTGGTTTGGTTTGTAACACCAAAAGCACCAGTGCTGGCTGGGGAAGAGCATCTTGGGAGGACTGAAACTTTGGGCAGGCCACAGCCTTGGGACAGTGAAGAGGCTGGACTAGGGGATCTGTGAAGCTTGGTGTTTCTGTGATTCACGAGGGCTCTGAATTCTGTCTTATCGCTCATTTCTCTTCCAGTCATTTTCTAACGCGCGCAGCTACTCTCGCTGGCCTACGTGGCCGACGTGGGTTTGTCTGGAATCGGGTATCCATCACCAAAGACGTGCTCTAGGGATTTGGGGAAAGGGAGAGACAACTGGGGAAGCAGCTGGTCTTGGAGAAGGTGGGCTCTGGGCTGTGATGGGGACTGATGAATGGGGGGCTGGAGGCAAAGGCACAGGTGGGACCCCCAGGGCAGACGTGGGGAGGCAGGCATTCTGGGGGCTCTGCTCCAGTGAAGGGAGCCAAGGATGAGGCTGAGCCAGACTATGGAGGCTTTGGGTGACCTGGGCAGACGTGTGGACAGGAAAGAGGCACGATTTGAGCCTTGCTATGGGAGCATCGCTGTGACAGCCAGCCGAGGGTGTGATTGAGTATCATCAGAGGCTAATGGTAAACTAGCCAGGAGGTGTTGCTTGTTCTCCACTAGGGTCCAAACTAGGGCAGTGGCTGGAACAAATGAGGACAAAGTCAGGGAGACAGAAAAAGCAGGATCCTCTCAACTTTGGGAGAAGAGGGAGGCGTCAGGACTCCAGTTGAGTATTGGGGCAGCGAGGTGAGCGCAGTCTCGTGCAGGCCCAGAACCTAGGCTCTGGGGCGGGACTGTCCAGCTTCATGTCCCATCTCTGCCCACCCCACTGCTGTGACCCTGGGCAGGGTACTAGGCTCTGCCTCAGTTTTCTCATGTAAAATGGGACCCGGGACGGAGTGAGATGATGCGTGTAAATGCACAGTGCCTAACACGACGCCTGATGCGTGGTGAGTGCTCAGTAAGAGTCCCTGATCGCAGTCATCATTGTTATTTTGTTCGCTAACTGGAGTGTGGAGGTGCCGTGATATTTCTGCTCTGGTGATGATGAGTGTGCAGCTCACCCAAGTGCAATGTTGAGCACGTTCAATATATACTGGTCGATTGGTTCTTCTCTTAGTCAACAAACGCTTGCCATTTGAGGTCAGATTTGTATTGGCCCATTGTCTGGCCCAGAAATCTGTCTTCTCAGATTATTCAGATTACCCAGAATACTCGTTGCTTTTAGAAGCTGTCAGGCACATTCTCCACAGCTCTCTGGAGATGGGCTTTCACCAGGCCTTTTGTAAGGAACCACGTGTGAATAGATAGCTGTTGACATATAATTACACTTCCGTATAATTACATTTGGAAGTCCCCACTGCACACACGTCTAGACTTTGCAGTATGCTGAAGGAAAGCACACCATCTGGTGTGGAGATAAATACGGCTAGATAAGCTGGCTTTCTTTATGCAGTGGTGCTTTAACGAACTAAGCCAGCCCTCTGGTAAGTGTATTTCCCGTGGCAGACATGACTGAACACCCCCCGCCCCCCGTCTCCAAAAGGTGCACAGTGTCGGCACATAGTAAACACTCAGTGTATCTTGTTAATTACAGTCAAGTGGCACACGTTTTTCCCTGCCCTGAACTCGTCAGGACGGCGGGAAGCACCCTGTCCCTTTCCTGCCTGCCGTGTGCCAAAGCTCAGTCCTAACTCTGAGCAAGGCTGTTCGTGTTAGAGCTCAGGGCACGCAGGTGTCTGACAGCTCGTTTGCAAAAGGCCTTGAATCGAGGCAGCAAAATTGGGAAACACCCCTGACTAATCACGGGAAACGTGTAAGTTGTGGTGAAGGGAGGCAGAGACGCCACAGAATCCCATGCCCTCTTTTCACTGCAGAAGGCACCAGCTTCCATTAGGTACCAGTTTACCGTCTTGCCTTGTGAGCCGAAAGGCAAACTCTTCTCATTGAAAGGTCTACGCTGGGTGCCTCCAGACTGTGGAGCTTTTAGGCCCTTCTCTGGAGCTCGTAGACTGTAGAGCTGGAAGGGACCTAACCATCCTCCGAGACATTTGTTCACAGATCAGAAGCTCAGACAGATGAGGCTGGGGGAAGGGAAGCAGTTTGTGCGAAGTGAGAGCGTCTGAGAACCAAGAGTTAGGACTGGACCCCACTTCCCTGTGACCTCTTCTTAAAGGGAGGTTGGGATCCAGCAGCACTGCAGCACCCCGCTGCACCACCTTCTGGCTGGGAGAAGTGTGGCAAGGCCACCTCTTCCCATCAGGCTTCTAGCACCTTCTGCAGGGGCCCTGGGGAAGGTTATTGCAGGCAAGTTTCTCTCAGCTAGAGTTCTCTGGCTTAACCTGAGCAGAAAGCGAATTAATTGGACAGATACTGGGGACAGTGACAGGATCAACAGGAAGTCTGGAAGGGACAGGACACAGGGCCACTCCGGAAATCTGGACAGAAGGAACGTGTCACAGCCTTTTCAGATACCACCACAGGAGCGAGCGCATGTGATCGGTGTCTTGCATCCTTGCATCGTTTCCCTTAAGATTTACCCGCTTGTTTGTGGGGAGTGTAATGCCTCAAAAGGAAACTGATTAAACTGTTGCCAAAAGAACATAGAGACCAGGCTAGAAAGCTGAGAGTATTAATGGAAGTCTCTGTTAGGGTCGCAGTGGTGGTATCATTGCCTAAATCGTGAGGCTCTGATGTGAAATGTCTGTGGGTCATTTACATACATCTGTCCCCAAGTATACAGATCAGGGAGGCCAAGGACGTGAGGTTGTCCGGTTGTCATTCTGTTGCACTCCTCGCCTAGTCCAGCAGAGGAGGCTTGAGGCAAATGGCTGGTCTGATGTATGCCGAGCTTTCAGGTCTGAGAGCATGTGAGGAAGTAAGGAGGTTGGGGGTTGTTGCGAGGTTTGAAGAAGGAAACAAGAAGCGAATTTGGGACAAGTTACCCAAAAGGGCTGCACTTTGGATCCAGGACATTAGAGCTTTCAAGAAGAGTACCAGGTGGCTCTTCAGCAGGTTCCGGAAGGCCACTTCCGACCTCATTCATCACAGGGGGAGAGCAGGGAGTTTGGGGTGGAGGGAGTCACCCGAGGCTGCCACTAGCAAAGAGCTTTCCTAAATTTCCTCCTTGTTTTCAGTTTCCTTTCCGGCAGTTGAGCCTAAGCGATCACTAACCTTTAGGATCACAGGAAAATGGGGCTTGCTCGGAGCTTAGCCCGAGGGTCGGCTCTGGCCCTCCTCACCAGGCCCCATGGGTTGGTGACTCCCCCTGGTGTGGAGTCAGGAGACCTTGGTTTCTCTCCCAGCTCTGCTCCTTGCCCATTGAACAAGTCGCTGGGCCCCTCTGAACCTCAGTGTCCTCTTCTGTAGAGCAGAGATTGTGAGACCCACCCCCCGGGCACAAGGTAAGGGCCAAGTAAACAGTGCCAAGACCTGAATTCCCGACTGACCTGACACCCAGGCCCATAAGATCACCCTGGAACTAGGCCAGACTTGGGGGCGGGGGTGTTGATGCACTTCGCCAAGTTCTCTTTAGGCGTCTTAGACCGAGTCTCTGTGGCCAGGAGGGTACATGTTACGACTCTCCCTCGTGAGATTTCGCTTGGTCTACGTGTGACCCAGTTTCTTTCCGCCTTCTCCCCTCCCTCCTTCCTCGAGTCCTGTGCCCCTCCTAACTGTGTGTACCTGGAGGATTGTATATTCAGTTACGTTACTGCCCTGGTGTCTTCTTGTTCCCCAGGTTGCTCTTCTAGACATTGATATATGTGGGCCGTCAATTCCCAAGATAATGGGGTTGGAAGGAGAACAGGTAAGAGCTGTATCACAAAACACAGAAAGTGGCCTCTCGCAGCAAACATAGTGTGAGCCTCTTGGCCTAGACAAAGGGGTCAGCAGAGCCCATGCGTTTTTACGGGGACACGGTGAAGCCAGGTAAGTGTTTGCTAGTCCGTCTGTCTACCCTAACAACAGCTGTGAATTTGGGGGGTGGGATTATATATAAAGTTCATCCAAACCATTTGAGAAGTGTTGGTTTTGATGCCTTCTCAGAGGGGAAGGGAAACGGCAAGTAAAATGCAGAAGTAAGATGCAGAAACTGAGCTCTGACTGGGAAAGCTAGACCCGGGTTGGCTGGGGTTTTGTGTCCTGGAAGCAAGGGAATGTTTCTACTCTGTGGTCACCTCTGGGGAACTGAGAATGCGAAGCAGGAGAGTGACGTGCGGTGAGGGCAGGGACCCAGGAGTCTGTGCAGGTGCGAGTCACTCCCTTCTGAGTGGGAAGAGGCCGTCCAGGGAAGGGCGCCCCCAGGGGCTGTGCATCGAAGCTGGGCTGGAGGCTAGGCTGTTCCAGGGGTGTCAAGATTGGTTTATTCTTTGTTTGTTTTTGTTTGTTTGTTTGTTTGTTTGTTTGTTTTTTAAGCTGAGCCATCCTGCTACCTGTTGGCAGCTCAGCGGCTGCTCAGCTCGGGCTGGACTCGAACCGCTGTTGCTCAGAGCTCAAACTCTTGAGCGAGCTCTTAACCAACTGAGCCACTCGGCCGGCCCAAGATTGGTTTATTCTTGAGTGCCGGAACTATTCCGGGTGTTGGGGTACAGTAGTGAACAAGGCAGATAAAGACCCTGGCCCTCATGGGAAGGGGCAGATGATAGATTAAAATAAAAAACTAAAGCAGGGGAAGGGGACAGACAGGGTGGGGCAGGGCAGGCAGGGAGAGCTGCTCTTTGGGAGAGGGGGGTCAGGGGCACTGTGCTGTGGAGAGCTGGGCAAGAGCCTTCTGGGCTGAGCGAGCAAGTACAGGAGCCCTGAGGGGAGTGTCCTCATGTCCTCAGCAAAGTGGCCAGTGGGGCTGGGGCAGAGTGAAGCGGGGAGGCGGGTGGAGCGTCGCCAGAGGCAAATGGGCCTGTTGGTGTGGGCTCCACTCAGGGCTTGGGAAGGCATGTGATGCCACGCAGGGTCAAGGTCAAGCACAGGACCTAGCGTCTGTGACCACACACACGCCCATGAGTAACAAGCTTTGCAGGACATGCCCGCAGTCTGAGCGTGCATTTATGTACTTGTAAGTGATACACATATACTACTTACTGTACCGGTATGTAAATATTTTATAAAAATTGGAATTTTTAACTGGTGGGAATTTCCAGCACTTTATTTCCCTACACAATTGGGTCATCATGTTTACCCCTCTTGTAAGACCAACGACTTAAAGGATGAGGATAAGTAGGAAAGCCAGACACACAGGACCACACATTATATGATTGTGTTTCGATGAAATGTCTGGAACAGGCGCATCTGTAGAGACAGAGAGTAGATCCGTGGTCACCTAGTGCGGGAGGGAAGTGTAGGGATCGGGGGTGACAGATAAGAGGTGCACGGTATCTCCTTGGAGTAATGAAAGTGTTCTACAGTTGATTGTGGTGATGGATGTATAATTCTGTGACTATCCTGAAAGCCATTGCATTGTATGTTTTACATAGGTGAATTGTACGGTATGTGAATTATATCTTAATAGAGCTTTTTTAGAAAGTAAGGCTCCGTGAAGAAAAATAGACCTTCTCTTTTGGCTCCTACATTGCTCTGATTTCTGAGATGGATGTATAAATTGGGAGTTGCTTAAGTTCTAGCTTCGAGACAAAGCGGCCATGCTGAGTTGAACACCTACTGAGAGAGAGAGCCTGAATCTTGAAGTAGCCCCAGTGAGCTCCCACTTAATACCCCGCCTCCCAGTTTTTGCCCCCCGGGAGGCAGCAGGGCAGAGCTCAGGCCACTGACAGGGCAGGCGCTGTATCTCCTGGCTCAATAAAGGTACCTCCTTCATTCCTGCACTTTTAGAGGCAACCTCACTACCCCACAGCTACCTGCGTTTTCTCAACAACCCCCAACCGATTTCTGTCGCTTTTTGAAAATACCTCAGACCCCAAATTATGTTTGACTTTGGTTCCCTGACTAGATGTCTATGCAGGGTTTCCAAATAACCCAAGTAGGTGGGAGAAAGGGGTATTGAATTATAGCTTCCATGACTCCTCCAGCTGCTCACTCCCTGTTAAGAACTTAGTGGTAGACTTGTAGACAAGGAATTGTATTTTATAGAACTGTCTTCTTGCTGTGTAAAATCTGTGTATGAAGTGTGACCAGGGTGCCGAATTTACAAATGAACCTTGATGCCCATGTTCACGCAGGTTCACCAGAGCGGCTCAGGCTGGTCTCCAGTGGTGAGTTTTCACCTCTTTGCCTTATTTTCAAGGTGGTGGATTGTGGGCCGTGTGTGGATCATGGCTGTTTGGTGGGTTGGCAACACAGCTCATTAGTCAACAGATATTTATCAAGGTACCTGTCTAGGCCCAGGGAATACAGTGAAGGCCAGGGATTGGCAAACCGTTTCTGTAAAGGATCAGATAGTAAATATCCTCAGTTTGTGGACCATCCACTCCCCGCCACAGCAGCTTGAAAGTAGTAATATGTCAGTGAATGACCACGGCTGTGTTCCAATAAAGCTTTATGTACAAAAACAGATGGTGGGCCAGATTTGCACCCGGGGGCTATAGTTTGCCAACCCAGCTTAAGACAGTTAAGGAGAGAGACTCATTGTCCAGCCAAGTTGAGTGTCATAGGGCCATACAGTACCTCTTTCCATCCATCCCCTCAATATGGTAACCTTCTCTCCAACCCCAAAAGTGATTTGAAGATGCAGAGTGACTATACTCATAGATCACATGGTAAATTTGCCCCCAAAATGGCTTTAAGTAAAATGTGTCTTGCCTCATCCTCTCCAGTTCCTGGAAGACAACCTGGGGGTGATGTCGGTGGGTTTCTTGCTCAGCAGTCCTGATGACGCCGTTATCTGGAGGGGACCAAAGAAAAATGGTTGGCCACTCTGCTTTCTACCTTTTATCGCGTTCTTCCCAGGGCAGAACTACTGTGGGTTTCCTTTGCGTCCTGTGCTGTCAGGATGGCCGTAGTCACCCAGCCGGGCTCTGCAAGGCAGTATTTTTAAGCACCTAGGTGTTTCTTTCTTCACTGGTTGAAGACAGCTAATAGAAATACCAGTTCCTGTTACAAATTTTAATATCTACTATGGGTTTTTTCTCTTCTGGAAACCTATATAACTGAAATTATTCATATTGTGGTTTTGTAGTGGCTTATTTGTGTCAGAGAGAAGTGTGTGAGGTAAAATCGATACCAGGTTGATTGGGCACTGGGACTTAAGGTGACAGTGCAAAGTGTCATTTGGGACAGGGTTCCTCAAACTTGGCACTATTGATATTTGGGGCCGGATTGTTCTTTGTTAGGGGAGGGGAGGACTGTGCCCTACACCGTAGGGGCACCCCGGCCTCTATGCGCTGGATGCCAGTAATACTCCGACCCTAGTTGTGGCAACCGGAAATGTCTCCAGACGTTACCAAATACCACGATCTACAGTGTAGACCCACCGTAATAGCGATCACACTGTGCTTCTGTAGAGTCCGGAGGCCAGCGGTGGGGGAGGAGAAGCCCTCAGTGCGGGTTCTTCTTCGCAGGTATGATCAAGCAGTTCCTGCGGGATGTGGACTGGGGAGAGGTGGACTACCTCATTGTGGACACCCCGCCCGGGACGTCGGACGAGCACCTGTCGGCTGTCCAGTACCTGGCCGCGGCACACATCGACGGGGCGGTGATCATCACCACCCCTCAGGTGAGCAAGGGCCCGGCTAGAGCTGGGTCCAAACCGTGCTGTGTTAGCGTTATAACTCAGATCGTCCCTTGTGGTCACCTCGTTCTTGCTGGGCTCATACATCGGGTCCCCACAATCCACAGTGCTTCTTCTATTGGGTTTCAGAACAATTCAGGGAGCCTCCCCCGCCCCCCCAGGTTTCCACAGAACCAGCCTGGGGTGTAGACGGGGATTTCTGGATAAGCTGCTATGGTCCTGGCCCCTTCTTTGGTCCTTGCCAGCTCCTTCTATGCCAGCCACATAGAGGCTGTGCCCTGGGGCCGTGCTGAAAGGAAACTTAGTAGATCCAGCAGGGAACAAACGCAGTCGGGTCTGAGACATGTCTTAATATTGTTGCCATTGATCTGAAGGGTCCCAAGAAACCAACAGATGATTCTCTTCAGTTATGCTTCTCTTCACTCCTAAGAAGCACAAGAAAAGGAGTTTATTTTAGTGTCTCTCTGAACCAGTCAGTGGGACCCCTCATCCTTCACCCTCACTGTGCACCTACTATGTGCAGGCCCTGGACCAGGTACCGGAGCAGTAAAACAGACTGGTCCTCTCTCATGGCTTCCGCGATTCACTGAGGAACTCGGGTGCTGGACACATGGGCACACACATATGCTGCCAGCGGTGTGACAGGCACAGCAGGCCACATGACGGTGCCTCGTTTGGGGAAGTGGTGGGACAGGATTCGTGTCTGTCTCCTGTAGAGAGAGTTGTTGGGGACGTGTGGAGGAGCGGACACCATTTAGGTGGCTCAGGGCTGGGAGCACCTGGCTTGAGGGGTGGCAGGGGAGAGAAGATGGATTTATCCTTAGGAGTGTTTTCTACTGAATTTTAAAAAAGTGGTTGGGGGCCGGCCGAGTGGCGCGATGGTTAAGAACTCGCTTGAGACGCCAGAGGGCCCCGGTTCGGATCCCACATATGAGGGCCAGTGACACTGCCCTCCACAGCTAAGATGCTGAACAACAGCTCAATCCAGAGCTGGGCTGCCGGGAGTCGCCGGCGACGGTGTAGGCTGAAGCCCCTGTGGCAGTGGGTTGCCATGGGCTACCACAACTAGACTGAAGAACAAGACGACAGCAACTTGTCTGTTCCCCTTCCCCCAATTCCCCAGCACTGTTCCCATCCCCCCAATTCCCCAATAAAAAAATCTTTAAAAAAAAAAAGTGGGGGCCGGCCGAGTGGCTCAGTTGGTTAAGAGCTCGCTCAAGAGTTTGAGCTCTGAGCAACAGCGGTTCGAGTCCAGCCCGAGCTGAGCAGCCGCTGAGCTGCCAACAGGTAGCAGGATGGCTCAGCTAAAAAAAAAAAAAAAGTGGTTGGGGCCCTCTAGACCAGCAGTACTATCAAGAGTAGGTCCCACCGAAATTACCTAAAAGGAAAACCGTCTAGTTGGAATGTAGCACTCGGGATGTTGATGGTGGGAAGATTTTTCACGTTTGGCATATGGGACGATACATATGGGAAGCCTCTGTACTTTCTACTCAGCTTTGTTGTGAACATAAAGCTGCTCTAAAAATAAAGCCTGTTACGAAACAGCAAAAATGTAGCTGGCACAAAGATGGCTTTTCCAATACGACATTTGTTGGGAAAGGAAACATGGGGCCCCCTCAGGGTTCGAGAAGACCGAGCAGGTGCTGGCCCTCCCCAGGAAGGAAGCCATGGGCGCATGCTCCCCGTGTGTGTGCTCTTTCTACAGAACTTCTGTGAGAAGTGTGGCTCCAGGCGAGGGACACCCACTTTCTCAGAGCCCTTCATATCTGGCATAGGCACGGGCAGGTGGCTTTTTGGGGACGGCCATTTTTGATGAAGCTGGAAGGCTTTTATCACGGGACACCACAGAGAGAACCACAGAGGCACAGTGAGATGCACAGATTAAGTCCTAGCCAGTTTAGTTTCTAGCTAGATGCCTTGTCTGTACCCCAGCCTCAGAGAGGCCGAGAGCCAAATGTGTGTCTCAGGAGAATAGATGCCTCGAAGCTCTGAGCCTTTGGGAGCCCGGGAATGTTAAAGCCACACGTGCTAAGGAGTAGCCATACTTGACAACAGCAAGCTAGGACACACGAGTCTGCAACAACACTAACGGGGAGAAGGGAAGGTACTAAGCAACGATCATATACAGTACTCATACCGTAAAGTGCAGAGTTCAAAAGTGAGCTTGACGCGGTCCAAAGATGATACTATTCCTCATTTTCTCCGGAAAGTTGTTTGTGTTCATAATATTTAGATCAGAGGCTAGCAAACGTTTTCTGTAAAGGCCCAGATAGTAAATTTTTAGGCTTTGGGGATTGTGCGGTCTCTCTCATTCATAGCCACTCAGCTATTCCACTGTAGGGTGAAAGCTACCAGATGTGACAGTATGTGACAGAAGGAATGGGCATGGCTGCGTTCCAAAAGAACTTGACAAAAACAGGCAGCCAGCCCAATTTAGCCCACAGGCCCTCGTCTGCCATCCCCGACCTAGGAAATAATGTACATTTTGGCACAGCATGGTACATTGACAAGAAAGTAGACCTCGAGATATGTTAAAAGTCACCTTTCATAGATTTATTGGACATTTGCTATTTGGCTGTTCACATTTATCCTTTCGGGGTGTTGAGGGGAGTAAATAGCACCTGGAACAGGGCTTAGCCCATGGTCGGCACTCAGTAAATACTTAACAAATGGCACACATCTCTTAGGCTTTATGATAGAAAATTCATGTCACTGCAACCGCCCGTCAGCCACACAAACTTTGTCTTTCTCGTACTTTGACTTTGAAACAAATGTTATTTTGAACGTTGATAGGAGGTGTCCCTCCAGGATGTGCGGAAAGAAATCAACTTCTGTCACAAGGTGAAGGTGCCCGTCATCGGGGTGGTGGAGAACATGAGTGGCTTCATCTGCCCCAAGTGTAAGGTGAGCACGTCCGACCAACCCCTCCTTCCGCAGTCAAGGAAGTAGGAACGGGTCTGTGCGCAACTGGCCCTGCGTTCCCCGTCATTCCTGGAAGTGGGATCGTAATGAAAATCCTCAATTGCTGATTTAATGCAAGCCCTTCTGGTAGTTAGTATTCCCATTCAAAATCGCCATTTTTTTAACATTTCTTTAAAATGTGGTCCATTCTTACGATTCTAAAACAAAGTCATGATGTGTCCCCCATTTAATTTGCCTCACAGAAAGAATCTCAGATATTTCCGCCAACGACCGGAGGTGCGGAGGTCATGTGCCAGGACCTGAAGATCCCTCTACTCGGCAAAGTGCCCCTGGATCCACACATAGGTGGGTGAGTCTAAACACCCCGATTCTGTCACCGAGTGGGGCCTTCACGCCCCACTCAGCTGCCACTGGCATGACTCGAGACTGGGGCATTGGCCCCAGAGCCCACCATCCAGGCGCTCCCTCTCCAGCTGGGAGACGCAGTGAAACAGGTGGGCAGGTAGCTCAGGGAGCAGGCAGACCTCAGGGAGGAGGGGTGGTTAGGTTGGGCCTGGAAGGGTGGAGGAGAGCTTGGTCGGGGAGATGCCAGGGTGCAGGGAGGTTACTAGGAAAGGAACAAACGGGCACCTAGGAGACTGCTCTGGGACCCATACTTCCCAGACCTAGTCCAGCTACCGTGCACTTAGGGGCTTCCCTAAGCTGCTTGCCCCATGTCCCCACGGTAACTCCACCCCGCCATCCCCTTCTCACTCCAGGCTCCTTCCCTCGCTCCAGTTTCCCTGTCCCATAGGGCAGTACATTCGGGGAGTCGAGGAAATGACGGTCCCATAGTTGGCCTCACCAGCATCCACTTAAGGTTGGGGAGCAGCTGTGGGTAGTGCTCAGCACCTGGGGCGAGGGGGTAGGGAAGCCAACCACAGGGGTACCCAGGAATGGGGGTGGGCAGAGCCGACGGAGGAGGTGAGAACACCACCCGCCCACGGGGCAGGCCCCTACCTCCGTGCTCACCTGGGTGCTGAGTTGACATGTGCTCCTGCAGACAACCTGTGTGTCCATAAGACACGAGGGGACGGTCTTGGGAGAGACCAGCAGGTGGATTGATACCAACATGGAATGACCTTCAAGATGAAATTATATACGGAAAAGCAATGGGCAGAACATGTGTATGGGACGCTCCCATTCATTTTTCTGTTTGTTTGAGTATATGAGTATGTATGTGCGTATATATGCCACATTTATACGCACATATTCTAGAAAGACATCTGAAACACTGGTAGCCTCTTTCGGACTCACCTGTCATGGTATAACCTTTTGTATTCCATGGCTTTTCACCATGTGCATTCATTATCCTTTTACTCAAAAGGACGCATTAATCTTTCTATTTATTTATTTATTTATTTTTTTAAAGATTTTTTTTGGGAAATTCGGGGATGGGAACAGCGCTGGGGAATTGGGAGAAGGGGAACAGACAAGTTGCTGTCCTTTTGTTCTTCAGTCTAGTAGTGGAGGATGTTGCTTCACTGGCCCAAGGTGGCACCATCATTGCGCTCTTCCCGGGCGAGACAGATCAGTCACCGGCTTCTGGATGGCCACTCACGCTGGCTGCTGGCTACACACGGTAGCCCATGGCAACCCACTGCAGCAGGGGCTGCAGCCTACGCTGTCGCCGGCAACTCACGGCAGCCCAGCTCCAGGTTGAGCTGTTGTTCAGCATCTTAGCTGTGGAGGACAGTGTCACTGGCCCTCATATGTGGGATCCGAACCGGGGCCCTCTGGCATCCCAAATCAGCTCTTAACCAACGTGCCACTCGGCCGGCCCAGCATTAATCTTTTTAAATGCAGGTTCCTGGGCCCACCAGGGGCTGCTGAGTCTGTTCTTTGTGCAGCCCTGGAGCCTGCATTTTCCGTACACCACCCAGATGACTCGTAGGCACACACACTGAAGACCATTGGCCCGGGGAGGGTCAGAGCCATGCTGAAATGCTAGCCAGGGTCCCCGCTGGGTGGAGGGGAGACAGGTGAAGTCCTTTGAGACTCCCAGCATTCTTTCTCGGCTTTGTTCTTCATTATGAGTGCAGTGGGCTCAAGATCTTAATGTGTTATAGGCACAGAAAGAGCCCCAAACCCATGTTGCCACTGTGTTTTCCTCAGGGATTTAATTTTCTTTCATTTGTTTCTTTAAGGGAAGAGTTGCGATGAAGGGCGGTCCTTTTTGATTGACGCGCCAGACTCACCGGCCACATTAGCCTACAGAAGTATAATTCAAAGTGAGTGTTTATGTGAGTCTTGTGAATTCAGATGGCTGTGCAGCCAGGAAGTAACATAAGTGACCAAAGTGGGCTGGCTGTGGGAAGATTCGGTTTAAGATCATAAATGGTCACTGCCACGCGGTGTTGGCTGGGGACAGCAGGGGTAGTGGGGCCTGGGATGACCTGGAGAGTGTCGCCCTCAGCCCAGGAAGCCAGGAGTTTGTGAGAAATCTTCCAGTACGTCAATGTTGTGAATTAAGTCATTGTTTAAAAGACACAGCGAAGGCAAATTTTATGGCATAGGAAATACATCCCAGTTAAGCTGGAAATAGAAAAGTGATGAAGGAAAAACAGAAAAGCCCAGTGAGCCAAACCAAACCCATGTGCAGACCTGATTCCACCGACAGGCAGCCATTGGAGGCCTCGAATATACTGCAGAGGCGTCAATACTTAGACAAGCTCTGGAGTCGAGCTTTATGCCGGGTTTTTTGCTAGATAAAATGGCGTCGGGGTAAGTGACACCATTCCCAGGCTTCTTGATCTGTGAACGGACCAGTGAAAGGCCTCCAGCTGTGGTTATAACCACGGATGGGCAGCGGGCAGTACCCCAGTCACTGAAGATTCGGGGCATCAACAGAAATGGGTTTTGGGGGAGGAATTAAGCCACCTGGGGATTCCACCCCAGCCTAGAAGCGCCCTGACCGGCACAGGGCAGTCTGCCCGAGGGACTGAGGAGCCATCAGTGTTCCTGTGTCTGCCATCTTGTTTTCCAGGAATCCGAGAGTTTTGTAGTCTCCATCAGCCAAAAGAAGAGAACCTCATTAGTTCCTGAAACATAGGGGAACATTACGGACGCAAGCAGCATGTCCACTGAAACCTGACCAGCTCGGGGACAAAGTGGGGGTCACAGACAGAGAGGGACCAGACTCTGGTGTGGTGTGAAGTCACTTTTTCAGAGACACTTTAATCACCTTAATATTTGTACACTTTTCTTTAGAACATATGTAAAGGGCGTTCTTTACAAATGTGCCGTTTTAAAAATAAAAACGTCTCCTCAAACCTCTCCCTGAGGCCTTCTTCACTGAAAAGCCAATGGCTTGCAGGTCGTAGAATTCTCTCCTGGAAGCTTATCTGAATAGAGAACCTCTGGCTTCAGCCACTGCTGCCTCTGAAGAGAAGCCTAAAACAGAAACAAAGGGACGGACGTGTGGCTTCACTGCAAAACACACACTCACGGTCTTAACAGCATAGTCCACAGACTGAGGAAAAATTAAAAGAGCGATAGAGCCTCATGCTAGGGCTTGTTCAGCATACGACGCAGCTGGATGTAGTCAAAACACCCTTGTAAAAGCCCTTCAATTACCCACGTAAACAGAATTGAGGGCCTGTGTCTACCCTGTATAATCATATATACACTATATCCAGTAACTTCCAGTGTCATACAAGACAATTTACCAGTTGTTTTTTTGTTTGTTTGTTTTTAATTACCTGAAAAGGAAAGACAGCTGTAAACTCTAGAATTATCCACATTGCCATGAGACACTGTGTGTGGGATATGCACAGGAACTGAGACAGCTGAGGGAAGAGTAAATTTCTGTTTTCCATCTTACTCTGGTCATATTAGTGGAACGGTGGGCAAATCCCCTTGTTCTTTCCCTCCCATTCTCTCATTTCCCTCGCACCCTTCATGCCTGCACATGTGGTCGAATCTGCACATGTCCAATATGAGGAAGGTGGGACCCCTCTAAAGGGCAATGAGGTTGCAAAGCCCCAGGAATGACCACTGCACAGCCTGGTTCCTGCAGAACTATGTACCCGGCTACTCGGGGCTCTGGGGGAGGCCTTCCCAGACCACAGGCACAGCGGATCCCAGGGGAGCTGCACTTCTCACAAGTCCCCAGCCCCGCACCGCCCAGTCCCCTGCCGTGATCCCACCTCTCACCTAACACTTGTGGATCTCCAGCCCCTCGAGGCCAGGCTTCTGAAAGTCGCTTGGGCAGGCCTGCAAGGGGGAAAGTCAACCATGCCTTTTGGTTCCCACATGTGCGTGGCTTGATTCTGCAGACTCAACTCCAGAGCAAACCCACAAAACGTTCCGAGAACTTGCAGACCTCGTTGCTCAATGTCTTGATGCAAAGTAGCAAATTGTTCAAATGTTAGGTGGTTCAAACTATTTCAGGATGAGCCTGGCCAAATCTAAAAGATCTATTTCTTCTAGAAATATATGCGAAGTTACACATTTTTTTTGTCTTGTTTCTGTAGTCCTGAAAAACCACTGAAAACTAACAATGGTAGTCACAAAAGAATAAATACTGTGTGATTCCACTTCTGTGAGGTCCCTAGAATTGTGAAATTCATAGGGACAGAAAGTAGGCAGGTGGTTGTCGGGCTGGGGAACAGGCAACAGGGAGTTACTGTCTGATGGGTATAGAGTTTCAAAGATGGGTGGTAGTGATGGTTGCACAACACGAACATAAAGATGGTTAAAACGGTAAATTTTATGTCATGTATATTTTACCACAATTAAACTAACAGTGACAGCCGGCTGATAGGGAAACCATCAAAAATTGCAGTTGCCAACAGGCCTCCTTACTTGAGTGCCTGGAGAGCCAGGGGTCCAGGAGTTAGACTTCAAGTAACTCACCATCTGGAACACCGTCTGGGACAGGAACATGGCTGTGACTTTGCTGATGTCACTCTCGCCTCCCATCTTACAAAGGATGTAGCCATACAGGTTAGCGGCTTGGAGAAAAATCCCAGCTATCACGAGGGCCTGCACTCAGACAAAGCAAAGGTGAGTTTCCTAAGAGCATATATTGAAATATTCCTCCCAAAACAAGTAGCAGTGGCTCTGGCCTCCACCTAATAGTAACAGCCGACCTTTACAGAGCACTTACAAATACTCACAGACACCTTTGAATCACCACCAACCTGAGAAGTCCGTGCCACTAGCATACCATTTTACAGGGAGGGAAGTGAAGCCCACCCAGAGAAACTAAAATAGCCCAAGGTCCCAGAGCTGATGCGGGTGGAGTCAGAATCCAGACTTGGGAGCCCATTCTTTTAATTACACTGTTGCTGATACTGGCTATGGGTATTTTGTTTTCTCATTGAATGAACCAGATAATGGCAACAAAATATGGTAACTCGGAAATCAAATTTCAGAACTCGAAGGCTAGCTTATTCCTACTTAGGAAGGGTTCCCTGTCCAAGGTAGGATATCATACGCCTTTTCTAAAAACTCCTTTCTTAGCAGCATGATTCGTATGTGCCAAAAGATGGAAACAACCGAATGTCCATCAACGGATGGACGAGGAAAAATAAAATGTGGTCTATCCATACAGTGGAATACTACTCACCCATAAAAAGGAAAGCAGCACTGATACAGGCTACAACACAGAGGAACCTTGAAAACAAGTTAAGCTCATCGAAAGAAGTCAGACACAAACTAGCACATATTGTAGGATTCCATTTATAGGAAATATTCAGAATAGGCAAATCTATCGAAACAGAAAGATGAGTGGGTGTCAGGGGCAGGGGTAATGGGCTGAGAGGAAGGTGGTGATGGCTGAAGGGTACAGGATGTCATTTGGGGGTGATGGGAATATTCTAAAATTGATCGTGGTGATGGTTGCGTAACTGTGTATATACTAGACGCCACTGAATTGTACACATTAAATTGGTGAGTTGTATGGTGTGCACATGAATTCAATAAAGCTGTTTCAATCTATCAATCATTAATAAACCACAGAGAAACCTCCTCCTGCAATGCCTGGTTCTGTGCGGATGTCAGAGCAACGTCCCGAGTGAAGGTGTTGCCTTACCAGCCACTTTAGCTTCAAGGAAAATAAAGTGCTGAAGAAGAACACGGTCCAAATCATTGGGCAGATAATAAGGCCCAGCCAGAAGATCCGGGCCTCAGCTTCTGTGGCAGCCATACCATTTGGAGAGACCTGTTGTGGGAAAGTGATTCATGCCGTCATTTTCATTTATTTTTTATTTTATTTTTTAAAGATTTTATTGGGGAATTGTGAAGGGGAACAGTGTTGGGGAATTGGGGAAGGGGAACAGTCAAGTTGTCCTTCAATCTTCGTTGCAGAGGGCGCAGCTAGCTCAGCTCCAAGTCTAGTCACCATCCAGCCACCCGTTGGCAGCTTGCGGCTGCTCAGCTCAAGGTGCCGTGTTCAGTCCTAGTTGTGGGTGGGCACAGCCCACCATCCCATGTGGGAGTTGAACCGGCAACCTTGTTGCTAAGAGCGCACACTAACCACTGAGCCATCCAGCCGCCTGTCAGCTCAGCAGCAGCTCAGCTTGGGTGCAGCTCACTGGCCCATATGGGAATCGAACCAGTGAACCTGTTTGTTGCTCAGAGCTCACGCTCTTAACCAACTGAGCCACTTGGCCGGCCCCAATTTTCGTTGATTTTGCACGTGCTCCTGTCACTTGTTCACTTGCCGGAGCACCAGCAGCAGCAGGCTTTGTCTAGGGCAGGCATCAGATCCCACAAAGCCCACAAGGAACCCACAGACACTTCCCACACCCATTTTTCCCTTTCTGGTTTGACTCGTAATGGAGAATACCTTTCTGGCTTCAAAAATCCAGTGGCTTTTCCCATCTTCATCTATCTGGTTCCACCAGCGGAGGCCTACCATGAGCCTTCCAGTTACATTCTGAGGAAAAGGGACAAAATGACTCTAAGCACGCCACAGGTGAAGATGGTTCTCACCCTTTTTGTGGCGAATAAAATCAAAGTCACCAATTCAGGTTAAACTGATACCGGGAGCAGAGAAGATGGGGATTGAACTGTGGGGTTTTCTCAAATCAGTTTTTGAGGCTTCTAATTTTTATGCTTACCTCAAACAGTGAAGACTTCCAAAATATTTTTTTTCATATTATATAGAACATTTAAATATTTGTATAGTATATGTAAATTTTATTAAAAATCCGAACCCATGTGGCGTTGTCACCCTCAAAGGGTACATATTTGCAACCGTGACAATATACCCAGAAGCCATTTATTTAGTCAACACTAAAGGATGTATTCTTTTCCTTTAATTTTAAGTGACTCTGGCTCAGTATTCTCAAGTGTGTATTAGCAGTTCCAACCAGGGTACCCCTTGGCCCAAACCAGCTACGTGCATGGGGACAGTCGCCATCTGGAAACGCAGCCCACGTGTTTCGGAAGCAACGGTGTTGCAGGTGAGGGGCCTTACCTTCACAGACCAGAAGTCAAAGGACAGAAGGAGAAGCACGGTGACAAAACAGCCCACAAAGCTTCTGCTGAACCAGTCACAGCACACGTAGGTGACGATGGCACTCACTCGGAAAAACAGGTGGAAAAAGGTGGCCAGCGGGTGCCTAGGGAAGACCCCCGAAAAGCCCTCCTTACTCCAAGAGCCCAAAGGGCAGTTGCTGAGCAACCTCCGTGGTTTCTGACTTTCCAGTGCATTTCGGGCCAAACTCAATCAGGCTGCAGCTCCAAGGGCTACATCACTAAACTAGCTCACAACAGTCATTACTAGACTCGCCTTTTGTTTTCTCCCTCTCGAAGAATCCCGTACACTCCCCTTATCTGAGTTCAAATATCACTTGCCCTCTTTGAAACTGGGTCACCTTTGAAGTGAAGCGTGACAGCGATCACTACCTTCCCATCTACCAGCGACAGTGACCAGTTCCCTAAAGGTACCAGTTGGGTTATTCCCCCGTAACGGAGCAGCGAGGCCACGTGCAGCCCACGGGTGCTGTCCCATGTCATCAGGGAATGCGTGTTCCTGGATGGAGGGAAATGAGTGTGACATGCGAGGGACAGGTCTAACTCGAAGTGGCACATAGTGAGGGGCCCTTGAACGATGCAGTGTAACCTGGGGGAAGATGGCTTTTCACTGTCCTGTAGGCACAAAAGAAGCAACAGAACCAAGGGGGAATGTGGTCATCCTGCATCAGGCAGGCGACAGGCGTGGGTGACCTGGGCCAGGTAGAAGACACTCATGGCTTTCTGTTGCTGTGGAATCCACTTTTGATAGAGCAGGTAGAGAAAAACACTCAATCACGATCATGAAAGCAACAGTGCAAGCCCGGTGATGATGGCAGTGAGCGTGCCAGCCAGCCCAGTGCTAGGGAGGAGGAGGGAGGCGCAGGCCTCCCTCCAGGGCGATGACTCTACTCTGCAAACCTCCCAGAGTACTGCCAGGAATGCAGACTTGTGATGGGAAATTGGATTTTTAGATGATGGTGACTAATTATGTTAATAAAATACTACAGGCTGGCAGCGTCTGGGGTGTCGAAGAGCCAGTCCGCAGACCTGCAGGGGGATGAGCCCGATAGACCTTTCCAAGGGGCGTGGTCAGATGACGCAAACTAGGGGCTCCTGTAGCATTGCGCGGTTTCGGACTCCCAAGGGAACGTGAACAAAGACCCAGAGGCAGAATTTAGAGTGACTTCTGCATGTACTCCTGATGCCCCCAAAGGAAGAGGGGGCCATGCCCAAACACCAGCCATTCGCCAGAACATTTCTGCTCTGTGCTTTCCAGACACAGCTCCCCGCACCGGATGAAAAGCCCGCTTGGGAACAGGACCCAGCATTTAAGAATTAGACACGATCACATAGAACTTCCACATCTGGGATGTTCCTCCAGATTAGACCCGTGTGAAGGAAGTCAGCTATACCTTTTTGGGCCTAAAATCCTACTGAGGATTTTCAACAAACTGTCTTCATACAATTTTGCCCTTTTACGCTGAAGATAATTGAGTCCATCACTGAAAGTCTTCGAGGGCAGGAACCATGTTTTAAATCATTTTCTATCCCCAACAGTGCCTGGAATTTAAGATTCTCGGCACATATGTGTTGTGTCAAACCTTGTCATCAAGTTGGGTAAGGATCACTGAGACATCTGGTCTCTTTTAGTAGCACAACATAGACTTAAAAAAAATATCAGAGAGAGACCCAAGTGTGCAGTGATCCAGGGTAAAACCTGGAAGTCAGTGCGTTTGAATAAATCTCCTGCCCACCACGTTTTTTTTCCCCTTTTTTCAGCTGTGGTTTCCTGAAATAAAATGCAGAAAATTTCCAATTGTTAGAAGTTCTGCTTAGTTCGGTCCCAGTTAACTGTTTCCTTAACTTGTAATGGGAGGTATTATTATTATTCAAATAAAGCCCAAAGCAAGTAGAAAAAAGATGCCTGTTGCATTTCAAATATTGCTTTAAACCTATTCTATGCGGGTCACTGTCTGGGCCACCCTCCAAACCCTTATTCAGTCCCAGCCTTTGCCCCCAAGCTAACACTAATGTGGCCTCAGACAAGTATTCTAGTTTTTTGAGTTTTGAAGGCAATGACTTAAGCCTATACACTCTTTCCTGCCATGGGGTCTTCTGTCCTCACAGCATTCTCTCCTGCCACCTCTGCAGCCGCAGAGCACACACACGCACCAACAGTCACCTGAACCCCTCAATGCCACCGACTCCCTACGTCACCCTCACAGGCCCCCACCTGGCTGCCGCTTGAGAGGCAAGCAGTACAAAGGTGCCTGCTGCCAGGGTTCCAATCCTGGCTCCAACCTCTGAGTAGCTCCGTAGGCTTCCCTAAGCTATGTAACCGTTGGATGCCCCAGTCTCCGTTTCTGTACAGTGGGAATGCCAAGCGTAGCCACTTCCTAGGATATTAAAAATATCGACGGATGGTGGCAATTATGAAGTGGTTGAAACACAGACCATGTTCAGTAATCATGCGCTGCTATTATCTCGGTCCCCAGAGTCATTCGAAACTGTTCCACCTCCCAGGGGCCAAACTGGAAAATTCCCCTCTGACCACAACGTTTTCTCTCGCTCTCCCGGGGCTGGGGCAGACTTTTTATCTCAGGGATCCCCCGGGACTTCAGGCCTTTCTATCTTCCCTTAGCCCCTCCGCTTTCACTGAAGAACCTCCTTCATTCCTGAAATTTAACACAGAGCATTTCCCATTCGGTAACCAACACGCTCCCCCTACCCGGCCAGGCAGAAGCCTGTTATCTCCAGGAAAGGAGGAAAGAATTGCAGATGGTGGAAAGGGGGAAATGAGACTACTTAATCCAAGTATTGTCAAGGTGGAGAGAGTCCCGATAGGTTTCTGTTTAAGTATAAATCCATTTTCACAGTTCTGGGTGCAGGACACCTATTGTCTTTCTCCTCGGAGGGAAACATAGAAGCTTCTCAACCTGGAAGGTGCATGAAAGCCACCCAAGGAGGCCTTAAAATATGCACAGGCTGCTCTTGTCCCAAGACGTGGCTTCAGCTTGGGAGTGGGGCCTGGACGTGAATTTCACAAAGGAAAAGCACGGCTCTATCTTTGATTCACAAACTCTCTCCCAAAGGCCACAGCTAGCCCATTTCCTGCTTCTGGAAATAAAGTTTTATTGGAACGCAGCCATGTTCATTCATTTGCTGGCCTGCAAAACTGAAAATATTTTTCCAGAAAGCGTGCCAACCCCTGCTCCAGACCAGCAAGAACAATTTGGGGATGCAATCAGGCTCCACTCAACACAAACCAAAATGAAACAAACTGCCACTGAAGGTTCCTTCCTCCCTAAAAAATCTATTTTTAAAAGCTGCAGGGTGGGAGCTGCCTGACTGGCAGAACTAGTGGATTATGCTGGAAGTCAGAGTGGCCTTATCTCGGGATTGTTGAGGTGCAGTGACTGGGAACCTTCTGGGTGCTGGAGGTGCTCCGTACCCTAATCTCGCATGCACACACATATGACAGTTCATCAAACTGTACACTTAAGATGAGTGCTTGTGCCTGGATGTACACTACACCTCAATAAGACAAAAGTTCTGATTGAAGTCACTGACCGAAGACAAATCTTTGCAAGTCACCCTAAAAATTCTACATGTGATAAAATCCAGCCATTGCATTCCTCAGTATTTACCCAAATCAGTTGAAAACGTATGTCTGCGCGCAGATATTTTTACAGCACCTTTATTCAAAACTGTGCAAAACTGAAAGCAGCTCAGAAGTCCTTCAGTAGGTGAATGG